TATAATTAAATATTATAAATTGATTAAATAATTTAATAATAATATTAACTTTAATTAATTCTAAATCACAATAGAATTCCTTTCATCAAAGATAACTAGACCTCAAAAAAATTTTCAAGTCAAGTAACATTAGAACACTTATCAGATTCCTATGTCTAGTTTTTTTATTTTTTAAAAGAAAAAAATGCATTTAAGCATACTTTATTATATATATTTTGTTTATATAGTTTACAATTATATATTTATATAGAATATTCTAAAAAGTTTAAGATATTTTTGCATGTATAAGGTTTTTGTCTCACATGGTAAGAGATTTTGGCTAGTAATTTGATTTTGAAGTTCAATTTAGTACTGACTATGCTTGTAATTGCATTCTGTGGGATGGTATTTCTGCCCTATTTGGCTTGTGTATACCAGCACCAAATTTCGTAGATGCAGAAAATGTGAAGCCACATTGCTGCAGTCTGTTTCTTGAGATTCTTAATATTGGTTGCTTGGAAGATGTTTTAAAGTGTATGAGGTATTGCCTCACCTTTTGCTGCCTTAAAAGCTGTGTAAGCTATTTTCCAGATTGTTTTGCTTAGTGGGCACTTTAGAACAAAGTGTTTTTGTGGTTTTGGTATAGTAAAGGCAGTTAGAGCAGTCACTAGAAGCATTTGGGATAACATAAACCAGTTGGTAACCAAGGGATAGGGCTCTGTGTATGAGTTACCAAAATATGTTCTTTTTTTTTGTTTAGACTCCATTTGAATTTAATCCACTTAAACCTGGGAGTATCATGTGTTAAGTTATTTTGGGGGTTTGATTGTTCATATAAGCTTTTTAATGCTATGTAGACTGTATACTGTTGACTCTCTATTGTTCCTATTTTTATCTCTTCTGGCTTCTATGGCCAGGTGCTGTTTGCTTCAATTTTGCCTTTGAATCTGTTTCAGGCTGTTAGGTAAGGCCTCCATCTTTCAGGATAGCCTTTCTTTCTGTATAGATTTTGGTTTAGAATGTTTTTGATTGTAATATTTCTTCTAGCTAAGGTTTCCTCTGAGATTGTTTTTCTTTCTAGCCTTGCTCATAAAGTTTTGCCTGATAGAAGTTTTAGCAGAATTGAAAACAGCCTAGCATCAAGCATATTCTTAAGAACTGGGGTGAACAGGCCACCTTTCTCGTATTCAAGTTGAAAAGTTGAGTATTGTAGAAGCATGTATAAGTTGTTTTTGATCTACTTTATAATGAGAGAGTTAATTTTTTTGAGTTGTTTCCTTAATGGTAGGAGTAGGTATGCAAGGTACCAGATTTTTGAAATTAGGAGTGTTTTAGCTGCAAGGATTTTCCCTTTAAAGGATAGATTCTTTTTTGAGAGTTCTTCTATTTTTGTCTTGATTTTATTGGTCATTTCTTGCCAAAGAGTATTATAGGGGTTTTTTTTAATATCTATGTAATAGCCCAGAATTGTAAAGTGTTCCTAATCATTAGCTAGAGCTCTGAAGTTGTGCTATTCTGGGAGCTCAACCCTGCTAGCATTACTTGTAATTGGGATAAGAGCTGATTTAAACTTATTGATGACTGCATTTGAGGTTATTTTGTATATGTTCAATGTTTTTAATAAAATGGTCTAGTCTGTGAGGAAGCCGATTCCAATTGAGAAGTTATCTACATATGCAGCAATTTTGAAATTGTCTCTATTAACCTGTGGGTTTATAGCATAGTGGTTAGTGCTCTCATATTACAAACACAAGGTTAAGAGTCTGAAACCCATGGGGGGAATTTATCTCTGCTAGGACCACATTTGTTAATAAGTCACAAGACATAGCTACAGAGTCATATAGCATCCAGAAAAGAAAAGAAATCTGACAAAAAGAAAGTCACTAACATGAGGAACCCCGAAACAGAATCATGGCATTCCCCATTAAAGGGGCCCAAATAAGAGCAAAAGGTTTGTATTACAGACCTAATAAAGGAAAAACTCTGGGTTCTCTTCAAGAGGCACTTGCCTTCTGGGCAGATCCCTAGTGATCTCAAATAGAACATCCACATAGTGCTTGGCAAAATCAAACAAAAACTCAATTATCAAGTTTTTGAATCTATCAGTTTACAATATTGTGTATTAAATAGAAATTTTATTTTTGGTATATATATAAATTTAACAGGAATCCAATCTTACTTTAGACTTTGTAGTAACTAGCATGAAGTTTAAAGTTAGATAAAGGTAAATAGAGATTTTATAATTGAAGCACAATACTATAAATCAATAGATTCAAAAACTCAATAATTGAGTTTTTGTTTGATTTTACCAAGCACTACGTTCATATAAGAAAGTATTAGTGAATACAGAAGGTATACAGAAGTAAAGTTCAGAAGGGCCAAAACTAGAAACACAGAGCTTAACAGATATATTGGTAGGCATGTGATGAATGTAGGTATACAGAGTCTGAGTACGGAATTGTGGAAAAGTGTACAATTGCTAAATATAGGAAAATACAGGAAATTAGGGCCATGGCGATAAGAAACTGCAGACCACTTAAGGCAGGGTTTTATACCACGAAATTAGGGACCCAGGATATTATAAAAAGTGGTAGACTTATTAATACATAACATGGAAGGGCTAGAGAACACCTAATGGGGTAGCCCCACAGATGATGTATATAGCAATTAAATGTGTAACTAATGATTTCTTGTAATATAATATATAAGGCTTTGAAATAATAAAGTATGCCACCTGTATCCCAGATGTAGATTACGCATCATGGGGAATTTAAAAAAAATTGTCTCTATTGCCTGGTATGCCTCCAATGTTTCAGGAGATGTGTTGTATCAGTAGGTTAATTGCTAGAACGTAGAGGAGAAGTGAAAGTGGGTCCCCTTGTCTAACTCCTCTTTTCACTTTGATTGGTTCTAAGATCTGACCTGCATCGACTATATAAGCTGTCTGAGCAAAGAAGAGTGTGTTGATAATTCTGATGAACTTGTAATCAAAGTTCATCTTTTTGAGCACAATTTGTATAAAATTGTGATTAACTTTGTCAAAGGCTTTTTATTGGTTAAGTAGGAGAAGCCAGTGCTGTTTTAACTAATCCTCTTGCTTTTTAAGGATCATAAGTATATCGAGAGCTGAGTATGTGATAGACCTGTTAGCAATAAATATTTGTTGTACTAGACTATAATATTATTGCAAATTAGATTAATGAAATTTGCTATAATTTTTATGAAAATTTTAATATCAGCATTAACAAGTGCAATTGGTCTCTAGTTGTTTATATTTTCTAGATCAGTATTCTTTTTTGGTATTACTATGATTAAACTTTTGGACCATGAGCTTGGGATCAGGCCTGTGTTAAGCATGTCATTGAATATTCTGACTAAAATAGAGGTGACAAGTTCCTGTGTGTCTTTGTAGAATTCATATGTAATGCTATCTGATTCTGGTGCTTTGTTGCCAGAGAGATTGTTGATTGTTTGATTAATTTTTTTTGTAGTAATAGGCCTGATTAATATAGAGTTTTGATTGGCTAGGACTTGTATCAGGCCTTCTGTAAGCTAGAGAGCTGCCTCTTTGTTTATTTCTTCACTTTTGTATAGTTCTTGGTAGTAGTTTCTAATGAATTTGAGGGTTTGTGTATGTGGGTTATTGCTAGAAATGCTTAGGTCCTGTATTTTGAAACAGCATGTGGTAAAGTGTTTTTTTTTGTATAGTGCATAGAAGTATTTTGTTGATTTTTCCCACTCTTCAATCCACTTGGCACTGGATCTGATTTGCTATTTTACTAAAAGAAGAGCTAGCTCATTTTGTAAATCTAATTTGAGGTTCTCTGTTACTAATTTAAGGTCTGTTAAGTTAGGGTTTTGGGCCATTTTGTTGTTAAGGGAGTACCAGTTTTTTGTACATTTACTGATACTTGATTAGCTTTACGTGCTTGAAGTTTATGCTTGAATAGTCTTACAATCTTTTATAAATTTTCTGGATTTTCTTTTCTAGACTGGGCCTGGCTTGTATGCTTTTGCTATGGATTGGATTGTGTACTTGCAGAGATCCTAGTTAAATGTGTTCTGTAGATTAAGAAGCTTGTCTAAAATGTTTGTTTTTAGTTCTGAATTGTTCCAATACTTTCTGTCAAATCTCCACGGTTGAATTTTGTTTCTACCAGAAGGTGATCTGAGTTACCAAAACAGATTTGGGTGTTTTTGCAGAAGTGGCTATAGTTTTTCTCTATAAAGATGTAGTCCAGCCATGTTGCCATTCTTTGCCCATTGTGAGTTGATTGATAGAAAGTAAGAAATGAGTTTTCCTTAAAGAATAGTGCTATGTCTGTATAGTTAGCTATAAGAAGTTGTAACTTTTCTCTTGAACGATTAGCTTGTGGAGGAGCATTGCTTATCCTGTTATTTTGAGAATTCAGATTCATGTTGAAGTCCTTGGCTATAATACAGATTTTATTATCTGCTATGACTAGAGTCCAGTTATCGAAGAAACGGAATCTGTTTTCGTGTACGGGGGGCATAGATGTTTGTAATCTGTAATAGTTGTTGTTTGATCTCTATAGAGACTAATAAAACATGACTGTCATAAGATTCATCAGTTTTTATAAGCTCTATATTTCTTTTGCCTGCTAGTATTGCTGTTCTTGAGGATCATACTGAGCTAAAGCTCTATTGCTATGCTAAAAAATTTCTTGTGGAAGGGTCTTTAAGGTTGGTTTCTTGAATTAAAATAATGTCTAAATTGTATGACTTGAGAAGAATAAGAGTTTTTTGAGCCTTGGGTCTGTTGTTCAAACCTTTTATATTAAGTGTAGCAATTTTAAACATGACAAAAAATAGATGATTTTGGCATTGGATTTGGGTATATCCTGATAGGTGCTTCCTGAAATCTTTGAATTTTGTTTAGAGTAAGAGAAGTTCTTGTTTCTCTCAATGCTTTTTTACTTGTTTTTGTTTTTGGGGTTTCTGTAAATAACAACTGTAAAAGAGGGTTCCAGTTTTGTATTATCTGTTGTGCTTGGCTCTGTTTAAGTTGGTGGTGATTTTTCTTTCTGGGAATCTAGCATGGGTATGTCTAATTCTTTAGCTAATGAGTCAGATTCTGCACTTTGTAGTACTACATTTGTTTTGTCTGGTTTTGAGTTGATTGTTGCAACCTGCTTTTGGGGTGGAGTATCTACTTCCATCATGTCTGGTGTTTTTTTTGTATAGAGGTTGTCTGAGCTAAACTTCAGATTTGAGAGATCCAATTTTTGGACCATTGCCTCTTTTTTTTGAAGTTTGGCTTCTTTCAGAAGTTGTTTAGCTTCTATTGAGGCCTTGAGTTCAGAACATTCTTTTTTAATGTGGCCTTCTTTTTCGCAGTAGTAACACACTTTTAGGGCTTCTTTCTATTCTGTTGTTACTTTGTGAGTTGCCTACATGTGTGTTTTTTGGGATTCTGGACTGTAAGTCAGAATCATCTATTGTTTCAAAAGTGCCCAACCATTGGTTTGTGCAGATTTTGGTTCCCTTGAAAAAGAGAGGCTTTATTGCAGTGATTTGGCCAACATCCTGAAAAGCTTTGAGAATAAGGTTTGTAGTATATTCTACCTTACTCACAGGTGTGTTTCTGAGCTTTATAGTTAGAAATGAGCGTTTTAGATTTACTGAAATATAACTGAAAAAGGTTTGTTAGAATATGGAGATTCTCTCTGCTGTATATTTTTGCACTTTTTTCTTGTTCTTGAAGACAAGTTCGAGAGAGGTTCTTTTCTCTCTAAATAAGTGGCTTTTGGCTACTATAAGATCTTTTTTAAGTTTGAAAGCTAGAGTTGTAATTATATCATTAGTTATAACTTGCATATTAAAATGCCATCAATAGATGTGTTTTGAGTTATATAAAGATCATTTATCAATGAAATTAACATCATAAATCAAAGTCATAAATACTTATTTATAAATTATTTTAGTCTGGAGGATAAAGATTATTTATAACCAGTAAAATCAGCAAACAAGTTCATAAAGTAAAATCATAAAATACTTACCATCAGATACAAATAAATTTATTCATATTAATTGAGATGGAATTAAATTAGCAAAACAAACAATCAAGATTATAAATGCCTATTTATTATTACGTACAAATTATTCTATTCACATTAATTTGGTTTACAAATCAAGACTATAAATGTTTATTTACCATTATTACATTCAGCTTGTGGGTATAAAAATCATTTATTAATCAGTATTATTTGAGTCCAATTTCTAACCACGGGTATCTGTGAATACCCGCGACTATCCGCTAGGCTTAGAGATGGGTTTCATGCATACGCATTATTGTAGAATCATGCACATTAATATGCATTCATACACATTTTATCCTATTAAGATTTCTCTCCTCTCGATCATTTTTTCTTTTTTATCATGTGATATTATGTGCATAAAATATTTCATGTGCATTAATGTGCATTCATGCACATGTTATTATAAAATGTGCTTTTTTTCATCACTAGCTAGGCTATCTTTTTGAAAATTAATAGAAAAGAGTTCTTACCTGTAAGATATTTATAGCAGTTAACTGTACAGATATCTAGTTATACAGTTAACGGTTCCAAACTCTACAGTAGAGTAAAGAAATTTTTAAAAATCAGCTACCATATTTTAAACCAAGAGTTTGGTATCCAAACATTGAACCTAACTTAGGTTCAATTTTGCCTAAATTGAGTCAAGTGAACCAGGAACCAAACATTCCTAAAATTTTGTAAAGGCTTGAATAGCCTCCACCTTGCTTCCCTCATTTTTAGCCAATTAATATAAGTAGTGCCAATAATCTTTAATTTCATGAAAAAGTAAAATAAAATTAGAAAAATTCATTATAAACATACCTTAAAACATTAATAATAAAATTGAAAAAGCAATTTTATTAAAAATTCCTGCTTATTCTAACCTTACTAAAAACAGTATAACCCCAAAAATTTTTACAGCAAGTGTCCAAAATTAGTGCTTTTAAAGTGCCCATGAAAACAATATTAAATATTTATACATGGCCTAAATTTTTTTATTGTTCTTATTCAAAATTTTTGTATGTATAATATTTTCTTATATTATATCATTGTTCTAATTTTTTTTATTTTAATAATTCGAAAACACATCAATTAAATGTATTGTTCTTGTGACAACAATCTTTTAAAGTTTTAATCTGGATAAATCCGTTATCCATTTATCCATATCTGATTTATTCGGATATCTGTTTATTATTGATATCCAAATAATCTGACAAATATTCAGATGATTATCTGGATATCAACAGTAAATGGATAGTAAATAGATATCTGAATAAATTTAGATTCAGATATCTGATAATTGTTCAGATAAATGCTAACCAGATTGGAACTCTACAATCATTAAGCTTGAAATTTCAAACATCGCTTATAATTCTCATTTTTGGTTAAATTTTATGATGCACAGGGTTGGAAATAGAGCCCAATAGTGCTCAATAAAGCTTCAAATAGAGCCAATAGTGCTCTAAATAGAGACAATAGACCTAGTTTTTTGAGTCTTATTTATATAACCATTGGATCCATTGCCAACCCTGCATGAATGCCATCTGTATATTGCTCTTTTTAATACAACTTTTGTGATCAAAACTGTGAAGCTCATAATTTAGAATTATGTACTGCCTAAAAAATTAACACAATAGCAAGTTAATAATAATACAAAAAAATAAATAAAATAAAAAAATAAAAAAATTATTAAATAATAAAGTTATTATTGCTGCAATGAAAATTCCTAATATTATAAATGAAGTCAATAATAAAAATTTGTTATAAGAATAATGTTTTAGACCCATAATCAATTTTAAAATTGTGTAATTAAAAAAAATAAAGAATAAAAAAATAAAATAAAATCTACAACCTAATAATAACTAGTATCAAAATGAACAAGGAGTCAGAGCAATCACGAAAAAAAAGAATGACTCTGTCAATAAAAACAAAGCAAGAAATATGTCAACAAAAAAATAAAACCCCATCTTTTAGTATTGATTAACTTTTCATGGAATATGATTGTAACTGAAACACTATTTCAAAAATTTTGAAAAAAAAAGATAAATAGTTAACCATAGAGCTAACAGAATCTGAAGAACAAAAAAGTTAATCATCTAGCCAAATTCACAGAATTAGAAAAAGCTATAGATATTTGGATGTGAAGAGTTCTCTCACAAAATGTAATATTAATAGATGGACTTTTACAAGTCCAAGCCAAAAAATTTGCAGAATTGTTAGACATACCAGAAGCTGAGTTTAAGATAAGTCAAGGTTGGGTAGATAGGTTTAAAAGAAGGCATAATATTCGAAGATATAAGATCCTTGGTGAATTAGAAAGTGTGCCTACAGAAAATCTTCCTAAACAAAGACAAAAGTTAGCTGAATTACTCTTGCAATATAAGCCAGATGATATATACAATGCTGATGAAACTGGTCTCTATTATAGAATGATGCCCAATCAGATACTTACAACAAAACCAGTTAAAGAAAAAAAAAAATTAAAGATCGAATAACTGTTCTTCTTTATACAAATACAACTGGCACAGACAAACTTAAACCCTTAGTAATCAGAAAGTTGACAAATCCATATTGTTTTAGAGGGGTTCAGAGAGAAAATTTTGGTGTCAAATATGATAATAGTAAAAAAACATGGATGACAAGTGATATCTTTCAATGTTGGATAAAATCTTTAAATACTAAGTATCATCTAAAATGCAAAAAAATTCTTTTATTAGTTGATGGTGCTACATCTCATTCAAATAATGATCAGCTTATCCATATCAAACTTCATTTTTTCCTACCCATACAACTCCTTACTTACAACCATGTGATGCCGGAATAATCTATTTATTTAAGTCTCACTACTGAAAATCATTTCTTTAAAATATCATAGATGCCATTAATGCTAAGAAAGAAATGCCTAAACCTAATCTCTTGGCTGTGATTAGGTAGTGTATCAATTTGATCATCTATTATAATTTAAAAAAATAAAAATAAAAATAAAAAAAATAAAAATAAAAATAAAATAAAAATAAAAAATAAAATAAAATAAAATAATAAACAGTAAAATAAATAAATAAAAAAAATAATAATTAATTGCTCAAAATTAGACCAACTAATTGATCAGCATATCACTATATTAGGCTTATTACAGAAGCATGGGATAATATAACACCTAAAATGATTATTAATTGCTGGAAAAAAACCAAAATAGTGCTATCAAGTAAGTGGAATCAGTTAAGTTGGAATATGTTAAGCAATGAAGAAACAGGTGTTAGAACTAGCCTCAATAGTAGAGCCAGCATTGAGATTGAAGCCAAATTTGAAGTTGAAGCTAAGGATTGCTGATAATTATATTCAAGTCGATGATGCTCTTGAAATAGAGGAGGTTGTTTTAGATGAAATAGCTATTATTAAAGAAATTCTTCCTTAGTCCAATTCCAATAGTGATTATGATGAAGGTGATATTGTAATTGAGAAAATTTCACATTCTGTCGCCTTGGAGCAATGCAGATTATTTATACAATATTTGGAACAACAAGAACTAGTAAAATTTGTTAAAGATCAAGACTTACCACAGTTGTGAAGTTTGTTAAAATGAATTTGATTGAATATATTTCAAATAAAAAAACAAAAAAAGGTAACCAATTTTTTTTAAAATATGATAAAGTAGTTTAGATCTTAGAACATTGTAAAAACAACAATATAGAGAAAAAAAAACAGGCTAAGATACCGTATTTGCTTTTTTTTTCTCCTTTTGCTTTATTTTATTATTTCTTTTTGGATCTTGGGCAGTATAGATGATGCCGTTAATAAAATATATTAATCAATTAATTTAGAATAGATATCATCTATACTGCATAAGATCTTTTTTTTTTTATATATATTGGAATTTTATTTTCTTTCTTTTTGTTTGTAAAAGAATATACTTTCGATAAAGACATAATGTATAGGTTACTGCATTTCCTTGAATAAAAAACTTGTAGATTAAATAGTTTGAAATCAGATTACAGAATAAAAATATTAATTTATAAAATTTCACTCACAAAATCTGCGACCAAGATTTATAGTTCATAAATAGCATAATTTGAGTACGTAACTTGAATTTAGTTCTGAAATGCCAAACTAAAGTTAGATTAGTTTGAAACAAAGCATTATTAATTAAAAAAAAGGAAATAATACTTATCTTTTGTCTTTGAATTACATTCTCTTATTGGTTAAAGCTTTTGTAACCCTAACTCCTTTATTATCAACCCCATATATATCAACTAAATTATGTAATCCAAATAGGTTGATATTAATAGGGGTCATCTGTACTTTAAGAGCCAAGGCCTATATATACAAGAAATATAAGCAAGATAGTATGGCAAAGCCTAATATAAATGAACTAAAACTCAATTAGAAAAGTAAAAAGGCAAAAACTTCAGCTGCAGAAGAAGAAAAAAACCTGGCTGAGATTTGAAAAACAAGCTATACAGATGCAAAGAACAAGAGTTTGCTACAAACAGTAGGCCAAAACTCAAGCAATATAGTTAATATTGCTAGCAGCAATAGTATACAAGAAGATATAGCTACAAATACCAAAGAAAGAGTTAAACAAACAAAGGTGGCAGAAAAAGAAAACAGCTAGTTTACCCAAACAAACAACATATTTTATGATCTAACAAAACAAACAACACATGTAACTAATAAGGCTAACAACAACAAACATGTGAACAAACACATAAATAACTAATCAAATAGAGCTAACAGACAGGCAGAACCAAAACAATAGTCAAGTCAGTTCTCTAAACTTGAAAGAGTCAAAGCCACCTTCTTAACCTACATCTCAAGAAAAAAAATTCATACTAAAAATGAGAATGTACTAATCTTTGAATTATATGACTTGAAAATATCTTTACTACAGATATTGTAAAAGCAATAACAAATGTAATTGGTGAAGATCTTATTGTAGCAAAACCAATCTTTACCAAAAACTAAAGGTTATATTTAGAGGTTATCTTTACAGATGAAGAAAAACAGCAGTTATATGCTGCAGAAGGTCTTGTAATCTTTAAACAAACTTTTCAGAAATATATTTCAGTTAATATTAGACAAAGCTTTCTATTAGTATAACTTTGAAACATGGCCATGGACAAAAAAGATTTTATTTTAAAGCAAATCAATAAAGTCTTTAATGATATTAACAATATTTCCTCTATCAAACCACTTGTATATAAAGGAACATTAGTACTTACAGACCAATAGATGGTAATTTTTAAAACAACAGATGATCCAGACTTGACATTAAGATTACCTAGATTCATACATATTTAAAACCAGAAAGTTACAACTGACTAAAAAGAAGCCCCAAAGGTGTGCTATTTTTGTAACAAAACAGTTTATATCAAAAAGGAATGCCAAGAATACCATGTATTAGTTGAATTAAGAGAAATACAGAAAGAAAGAAAATTGCAAAAAGTACAAGAATAAAAACAAGTACAAAATCAGAGGCAATCCCAACTAGCTTTGAGTATCTGCTTTATTTTCTTTAAGTGAGTAAGAGGTTGGAGGTTTCTGTTACTTTCTTTATTTGGGTTTCCATTTCTCCTTTTCTGTCTGCCCCTATGCTATTTTTATCTCTATATTTGGTTGTTGTATCAATAATTGTCATGTTCTTAGATTCTTTATTATATAGGTTTTTGATACTCAAAGCTAGTTGGGATTGCCTCTGATTTTGTACTTGTTTTTATTCTTGTACTTTTTGCAATTTTCT